AACAAACACTACATTTAAAAACCATTTCAACAAAATGCATTCTCTTACTTGCAAAAATTTCACAACATAACATGAACAATTTATTATAGCCTGAAATTCAAAAAAATCTGACACAATAACAGACGAATTATAATTGAATGTTTGACTGAATTTACGAAAATCGCTTTCAAATTAAAAATTCGCGCAGGAAAAAGGACTTAAGACCGATGCATAAGAAATGAACTGTTATAGTCGACCAACGCCTTGCAAGTTTTTGCTACTGCGTATGGTATTTTTGAGACTTTTCGCTATTGGCCATTATTAATGCATACATACCTTCATGCAATAAAATTAATTAATGAAATAATTTTTATCACAGTATCACTTAAAAAACACTGTGACAAAGATGCGCGTATAAAAACGTAAATGCATACATGAAACTGCTTGCCTCAAAAAGCTCTCGAGGCCAGTTCCGACAGATAGTAAACACTCTCACCTAACAATATATACTATTGAATTTGCACCACAATCTGAATTTTATAATAACTATAAACACGGAAAAAAATTTGCAATTCAAGGGAGGAGAGGGTCCATTTCGTATAGAGAACAAATTGTTGACTAGCTCTAGTTAGTATAATACGTCACTGTCTAAACGACTATTTCGATCACAGACAAAGCGCTGTCTGTTAGAGAAACAGTTTTCCTTGAATAAGCGAAGTCCTGGTGCGCACTACTTCGTTGATTCCAGAGTGTATGTGCGACATAGGTGTGTAGAGTGATATGGATCTCCGTTTCTCACGACGGGGCGCCGCCATAAGGAAGCAGAAGTTAGCGAAGTTGACCCGCATCTGGTGCGTCAGGGACAAAGCAACTACGGTACGATCGGTGTCGCGTTTTCCTTCTCCTATATAAGAAAGCGCCGGAGTGAGCGAGAGTTGATGAGTGGGTAACTAGCCCTTGGGGCGCCAAGAACTCGTTAGACTTGGCTCCGGTCGGTGTTGCGCGTGTGCGTTGCGGTATGGGGCTAACCATGCGGTATTACCTACGGTGCGCCGCAAGCAATCCCCCAGGAAATTGTACTCGATGCGCCGAGCACAGCTAAAACTACTCCACTTGGAGCGCTATGCGGATAAGTACAGTCTGAGTCGGAATACCAATCAGATTAACTCGAAGTCTCTCAATCAGGCCTATTTGTAGGCACGGGTAGAGCGTTCACTACAGTGGTAGCGGCGACGGTGCTCTCTCTGGCAGGTGAAGAGCACCTTGCGCGAAATTTCGCAGTGCGCTAGGTTGGGGTACTACGGGGTTCGTTGCAATATATGTATATATGTAACTCGTATTTATGTTATTAACAATCTGATCAATATTTTTAAATTATAATAATTATAAATCTGAATGATATTTTGAAATATATTATATTATATATAATTTGAAATATATTATGTTTCCGTATTCTATTATTTTTAAATAAATTTTAGGACCCTATTATTATGAAATCTGATCAATATTTTCCGATTATATTATTTCCCGAGTCTGACCTAAAATTTTTAATTATTTTATTTTAAAATTCTAAACAAATTTCAGATTATATTGGATCTGAATAAATTTTCAGATTACATTATTTTTAGTTCTGACAAAAATTTACAGATTATATTGTAGATAATTACACAGGCCTACAAAACTTGTTTTAACTTCAAATCCTGAGCCGAGACCTCATGTCCTTGAAAGATTTTAATACACTGAATCCGAATCCGTGGTAGAATTTTTTCCTGTACGTCAGGTTTCTGAAATATCCTAACACAAAAGTGGGAAAAATACTATTTTTTTGTTATATGCTAACATCTTTCAATGCTAATATCAAAAATTTAATATTTGCATCATGAATAAATTTTCTTTTCAAAACCGATAATGCTACCTGAAAATAACAGTTTTACCCCTCAAAATATTTTTATCAAATTAAAAAAAGTCTTTTCTTTCTTTGAATAGTAGATGTTTAAAGTTTAGCATTGTAGATTTCCTCTTATAGAATTAAAATAGCACTAATTTTTCTTCGAAAACAACCATGCATTATTTTCATGTTTTATGGATCACTTCAACCTTATTAAACATCAGAATTGATCTCCAACCTCAAATACGTGAAGTTTCCTAATCTAAAGTTGCAAAAAATGCTATTACAGGCTTCGTTGAACACTTTTTTATTCCGAGATATCATTGAACGCATCCATAAAAAATATAAAATTTGATTTTCAATTGGTTAAATCAGCATAATTCAAATCGACGACTGGTTAACCTCAAAGCTCTAAATTCCACGGCACTATAACCCACGCATTTGAAACCTGCGACAGGTTAACTACAAGCTCAAAACTCCAAATACTATAACCAACGTATATGAAATTTACGCCAGGTTAACTCCCAAGTTCAAAATCCCAAAACACTATGATCCACGCATTTGAATCCTAAAACAAATTAACCTCCAAGTTCAAAACCCTAAAACACTATTATCCATTGTTCCAAACCTACGAGAAGTTGAACTCCGAGTTCAAAACCCTAATACACTATAACCTTGAAGTTTTAGATCTACGATAGGTTAACCTCCAAGCTCAAAACCGCAAAACTCTATGATCCACGCGCTTCCATCCAATAAAAGAGTTCTAGTCTACCTTTTCTTTGAACCTAACAGGTAATGCTAGATGCATAATAATCTACAGGTGGCTATACCTCGCCAGATTAATTTAAATACGAGGTCTGTACGGAAAGTATCGGGCCTACGTTCATATCCTCGCGCCATAGTGTTCGAGCGACCTCTACCGGACAGAAACGTTAACAGTAAAGCCTCACGAATCTATTGGTTCCTTACTGACACCTGCCGGACGTATAGTTCATGCGCAGCGTATCTTTGTTTACAGTGCCTTTTTAGCGTTCGTCGGATTTTGATATTGTCAAAAATGACTGAAAAACAAGTTCAACGAATTTGCATCAAATTTTGCTTTCAACTCGGAAAAACGAGTTCGAAAACTATTGAAATGATGCAAAAGGTCTTCGGAAGCGAGTGTATGAGCAAAACACGAATACGAATAAAAGAGTGGTATAAACGTTTGAATGATGGTCGCACTTCTGCCGATAGTGATTCTCGTTCCGGCCGATCTTCGACGACAAAAACCGCAGATAATATTGAGTGGGTGCCACTTGCAATCGAACAAGATCGTCGTATAACTGTACGAGAACTAGAAGAAGACCTTGGAATACCAAAAACTATCATTTCAGAAATTTTAACCGAAAATTTAGGAATGAAACGCGCGTGTGCGAAATTCATCCCAAAATTGCTCACAGCAGAGCAGAAGAACATTCGCTTAGAAATCGCTCTGGACAATCTGGAAAAGGTTAATAATGATGATAATGTGCTTAGAAAAGTTATTACAGGTGATGAATCATTGGTTTAATGTTATGATCCTGAAATAAAACAACAATCTTCACAGTGGAAGCATTCTGAATCGCCAAGACCAAAAAAGTACGTCAAAGTCGGAGCAATGTTAAGTTAATGTTGATTGTTTTTTTCGGTTGTGAAGGTGTTGTATATCACGAATATGCACCAACAGGTCAGACAATCAATAAAGAATACTACGTTCAAATTTTGAAACGTTTGCGTGATGCAGTAAGAAGAAAACGGCCGCACTTTTGGGAAAGTAGTGACTGGCTTCTCCATCACGATAATGCGCCAGCGCATTCATCCAATCTTGTGCAGCAGTTTTTGAGGAAACACAATATCGCATTGCTTTGACAACCTCCATACAGTCCCGACATAGCCCCTTGTGACTTTTGGCTGTTTCCAAAACTAAAAAAATCACTCAAAGATACCGATTCGATGACAAAACAACAGTTGAAAACAATGCGACGAGTGTACTTAAGGCTATCCCTAAAAGTGAGTTCCAGGACTGTTTTGAAAAGTGGAAACATCGATGGAACCGTGTTATTCAATCAAGTGGGGATTACTTTGAAGGATGCCACCCATCAGATGATAAAGAATAACGCTAGCACGAAAATATAAAGGTATGCCCCATAGTTTTGGGCAGACCTCGTACACAATCACGTGCAGATACTATCTATCTATCTATTTTGTCAACACAAGAAAACTTTTGATTGCAAAAATTATTGAGCAAGAGAATGTTCTTAAATGTAGCCCATTTGCTTGTAAGTAAGACACTGTAAATAAAAAATAAAAAATTTGCTTTTATTTATGGGTTCAAGAAGATACTTCATTTTCTACAAAATCTTGGGAAGGCCTGTAAATAAAATGAAAACTTTTTTATTTATAAGCCCTATGGACAAAGTATAATCCATTTAAAGATCCTCATAAGAGATTTCAATGGATCCAATTGGCGGTTTACTTACTATTTTCTGGATTTAAGCATATGAGTTTTTCAATTCAATCTTAATGAGGCGTACTGTTAAACTAGAATAGCATATGCCATTCATTACAGAATTTAAAACATACTCAGTAATGATTAATCAACTTCAATCAAATACCTACACAGTTGAAGTTTCACGTACTACAGAAGAAAATAAATAGAAGGGCATACCATACATATTATTGTAACTGTTCTGATAAGTAGCATCTAATAACTTAATGTGAGCTTCGAGGAGTTTATCATCCGTTAATGTAACACAGTTCTGTGAGATTAACCAGGATTGTGTTTTCATAATTCTTACAAGTTGACTTTTGCATACTTAGATAAAACAAGTTACGTAAATTTATAATTTTTGCAGTAGGATAAATAAAAAATTTCAGTAGTAAGTAAATTTTCTGATTACACCAATACAAATAGCAAAATGCAGGGAGAAAAGAGGTAAAAAGGTTAAATAATATATTAATTTGTAACGTTTAAAATGTCTATAGTTTTGTACAAAAGATGTGTTACAGAAAAGGTTTAGAATAAAAATATTTATAAGTGCATGAAGACGTAAAATCATTTTATCTAAATTTAATAAAAACATAAAAATTCTTTATAAAAACCTTGATATACCTTATTGTATAGTCGATTCAATAATCTTGGAACAGCCGGCATCACTGTTGGCTTTAACACTTTCATATCATCAGTTAATTTTTTGATATCACCACTATAAAACCCAACAGCTCCACCAACCATAAACATTGCATTTTCACAACATCTTTCTAACATATGAGCCAGCGGTAGAAAACTTATCATTACATCTTTAGACGTTGGCTTGTAGTCACCTAATTGATGTAACACCGCACAAATACCTGCCATTACGTTTTGATGCGTTAACATAACACCTTTAGGACTTCCGGTAGTGCCTGAAGTATAACAAATGGTACTGAGATCCATTGGTTTTGGTGGAACATCTGAATAATTGGATAAAGATCCGAGTTTTTCAACATCTTCAAATCGAAGTAATTCTATGCCTCTATTTTTTGCTCTTTGTTGTGTAGCTTGCTTTATTTCTTTAATAACAACCAATTTCCGAAGACACCTATAAATAATATAGATTTAATTACATTTTGTACTAAAGTTAATAATAAAATTTTATTTAATCCATTAGCATTTAAAATCAGTCAGGTATTTCATCGTCAAGATACTTGTATTCAAATTTTAAGATAATCAATTTTCTAAAATATAACAAAATATAATTAATTCTTCTTATATATTTAAAATTTATATATATTTTTAATACTTTAATTATTTGAGGTATATATTTTATGAATCACAAATTAATTTTTGTCAATTCTATGGCTTTTAAATAGAATTTATTTTAATAAAAAAGAGTAAATTTTATAGAAATAAAACAATGAATCTTTTAGATAGTGAACCATCGATTTTTTCTGTGTTAAGTAGGTAAACAGTTATTTCCATATAAATTTTTCAATTTATAATTACAGTTACAATTTGTTTGACAACAATAAATGAATATTTCTTACAAAAACAGGTAACGTTGGTAATACTATACAATAGAAGGGCTAAAACCTGTTTCCGTCTCCTCATTAATGGAATAATATTTGCCCACTGATGCCGGAGAAGATGACGTTACAAAGTACCGTCGCAATTCGATGACGACTGTACTCTAAACAAGTGAATTAGAGACAGACAGAGAGAGAGAGATAGAAAGAGAGAGAGAGAGAGAGAGAGAGAGAGAGAAGAGAGAGACAGACAGACAGAGATAGAGAGAACGGATAAAGATCAATGAATAAAGAAGCACATGCCGCAAAAAAAAAAGCGTACGTACACAAATATCCTCGCGACCACGTGTTCTCAGAATTTGCGAGAAACACGGTAAAAATGAGAAAAAACCGAGAAAAAATGCCCCACTTACATTCTTGCGCCCACCCGCAATGACGCGCCGCACAGTGTTCCAAATCAGAAACAAATCTCCAAAATGAAATAAATCGCGAACCAATACCCCTAGCGAAATGAACCCAACGGCATTTTAAAGCGGAAAAATGGTCGCGTATGAATCACTTAAACTTTTCACCTTCAAAATGAAGGTCAAAGTTCAAATTTTCTCAAGAAAAAAGGGTTTTTCGAGTTTTAAATATGGTTCAGTAATTTTTTTTTAAAAAGTAAATAGGCCATTTTGTAGCTTTTTCAATAATAAATAATAACCTGTCATTCAAAATTTTTTTTTGTTTATTATTGAACAAAAAAAATGAGGTCAAAGTATCAACATTTTCAACGAGTTCATAATCTCAGCACACAAGACAGAAATTATCTATAAAAAGCATATTATATAGATTATTTCTATGTAATTTTTCCCGCTGAACACCACTCCGTAGTCAGAAGTAGCCTACCACGTTCCGTTATCATTTTTAATGCGAAATACTCCTTAAAATACGGCTAATTCGCGATTAAAAAATGAACGGAGCATTACGAAGCGATTCTACTTCAGGTCCAGATTCCGTGAATCAATCAAAATCAATACACATGAATATATATACATGAATGCTATGGTCATGGCAGTGTCATGACAACTATAGAAGGTAGGTACTGCAAGTAAAAAAGGAATTTGTAGATTGTGCCTGTCTGGTTGTTACTTACACACTGTAGTTTGCTAAGATCACGAGTCTCGTAATTCGTTCATATATTTGAGCCTGAGTTTTCAATCGTTTGTGCCATTCAAGATCATATTTCATATTCAATATTTTTTCTTGGCAATAAAGAAAATTAGTTACTTCAAGATAGAAATATATTATTTGGCTACATAAAATTTGATAGGTATTAAGTGCATCACAAGTCCAGAAAATTATAATGTGGTTTAATCCACGCATAAAGGATTCAAAAGATACTAGCAAAAATCAAGATTACGGGACAAAAAGAAAAAAAATTGTATAAAAATCTATAAAAAAGCTTTTTAAAGCATTCATATACAATATATTTAACCCATTGAATGGTAATGGTACATATAAGTACAACTTTTATTGTCTCGGTTTCTTTTATATTTCCATTAAATTTTTAATTTCTATACGTGCACATAAATATTTTTTAGACTCTTGCAAATCTAACTTATCAATATTTGATGAGAAATTGCATAAATTAATTTATTAATATGTGTATTATAAACAATTAATGTGAAAAAACGCTCTTTATCTAGATTTACATTTACAGTTCACAATATTAGACATCATGGGTCGAACAAAAAAAGGCCCAAAACAAAAGCTCATAATAGAAAAGGAAGGCCTCGCAAAAGAGTTTGGCAAACAGTGCGCACTGGTAGAAAACGCAAGAATATTAAATCTAATGTCTCTATATCAACTTTTAATAGAAGAGCTGAAGAAATTGCAACTCAATGTAATAATGACATCGCACTATTAGAACGGGCTTTGCAAATTGCAAAAACAAAGTGTAATATTAATTCACGAATTGATAAAAATGAAGAAAATGAGAGTTCAATAATTCGGCATGATAAAGATTCTGCTTTAGCATTTTATTTAGACTATGACTATAGTGTGCGTCAATACGAAGGATTGGTAGCATATTGTAAATCGAAAAATTGTTCGATTTTCCCACCTTATTTGGAGATAGAGGCGGCCAAAAAAGAATGTCTTATTGGCACAGAGGTTGAGTCCGAAACTGAAATCATAGTAAACTTGCAAGCTATTTTAAATAAAACTGTTGAATGCTTAGCTAACAGTGAGGCAAAAGATTGGGACGATATGAGTTTATTGAATTTAGTGTCACGTCGATACGAAAGAATAAGTACGTGACGAATTATGAGTTATGGTAACAAACCGGGTATCGGTAATTTAGTTTTCTATTGTACCAACCCTCCCGGGAAGATTTGTAAATCTATCTAGCGGGATAGATTAGTCTAAGCACGTCTCCATAATATTTTCGCGAATATTACTCATCGCATATTAAATTGGCGAAAACACAGGAAGGGGCATATCAGCCTACGGTATAAAAAGGCTGGATTGGAATTCGCACTACACAGTACGCAGTACACAGTTGACAATTCAGCAGTTTGGTAGTTTCGCAAAGTTATTTTTTAAGTCTAACTATCCGGCTACTTAGAACCGGGATTATACTCTGTTAAGTATTATAATTGTCTTTAAACAATAAACCTTAAATCAAGCGCAAACACCTGAGACTGTTCGTAAAAAACCTCTTCTGAAATCCAATCCTAATAAGGTAAGAAACTATGTTATCTACTTAAAACGCCCTACGTATAATAAAGGCGCTATCCCTTTAACCAACCTCTGCTTAACTCCTGACTAAGATCCAACCTTTACCAACGCGACAATATTTGAATATATTGTTACGTCTAGCTGTAACATCTCCTCGCCTAGACATAACAATTAGGGGCCCCTCATTTCTTGGTAATTAGGATCTTATCGCAAAATTACAATGGTCGAAACACCTTACGAACGAAAACTAATCACACTCAAAATACTAACAAAAGAAATTAGCGAAATAGAACCAAACTTTACAACAAACAGGGAACCTACACTTACAGAATGTCTCACATATCTGCATCAAAGATTTCCACCCACCGAAACAAAGCAAATTACCCGAGTCGAAGAATTACAAAGATTAAAATATAATTTACAAGACTACATTGATACAAGCCTATTGGACTTTCTATGTAAACATGACTTAATATTTGACATCCTCATTGAAATGACTAGTAAAAATTTAAATCCAGCATTCCTCCTTAACTCTATTACGGATATAAATTTTGAAAAATTAAAATTAGATAAAACTGAAATTCCACTACTCGAGCTCATCGAAAATCAAACGGATTACGAGACAGCAATTGAAAATTCAGACACGTACAACGCGTCCACTACAAACGAATCTATGACTAACACACCGTCCGCTTCCAAATCACCAGAAATGACTCATAATAAATCGGAAAAAATTGATTTCACTCCAACTCGACATTTTACCCCTACAAACAAAACTAATTTTGCAAGCAGCCCATTTACTATGTATTATACGCCGGGGACTTTCAGAACGGGACTAATGAATTCCACTCAAAACATAGTATCGCCAATAAAAAATTTTAGCTTGAAAGACGCTGTTAACTTTGTACCTAAGTTCGACGGATTTAACATACCCTTACACTTATTTATCGACGGTTGTCGAGGGGCACGCAGCATAGTCCCGACAATCAATGAAAATGATCTCACCAAGTTAATTAAAATTAAACTAAACGGTGAAACACTTAAAAGCGTGCAAGGAAAAACGTTTGATAATGTAGAACAAATGATTAAATTTTTAGACCTACTGTTCGGATCAACAAAAACTTGTAATCAATTAACAGGCGAATTAGCAACGTTAAAACAAAAACGTGGTGAGAATGTAGTCACATTTTCTAATAGAGTGAAAACAGTGGCTGACGAACTTTTTGAAGCAGCAGTAAGGGTAAATCGAAACTATGCTGGATTTAAAAACCAACTTGAAAAGGACAAAGTAAAATTTCCTCATCCGCGGTTTATACTGGGTCATCAAAGGACGTATGGGGGAAGCCGAAAATTTAGAATTAGCTACAACGAAAGCAATAGAAATTGAACGAGAATTCAACGTACAGGAACCTGAGGAAATAACCGAAACAGTAAAAGCGCTAATCCAACCTAAAATAGAGCCGGTTCGATTAATGAAAGCGGAAGATAGTAGCATCTGCCAAATATGCAATAGACCAAAACACACAGCTAAAGACTGTTGGTATCGGATACCGCAGTAGTATAGCAATGTATGTTCCAGGACACCTGCGGGGGGTCTGTAACCCTTTGACCCCCTGGCTATGTTAATAATAATTATTATTGTTAACAATTATTATTAACAATATTCGTGGGGGGTCCCTTGGTTTAACCCTTTGATTCCCTGGCTCTATCCCTTCCATGTTAATTATTATTATTATTAATGTTAGTAATTGTTTATAATTTTTGAGTAGGGCTCCTAGTTCCTAGGGCTCCTAGTCCCTAGGGACCCTATACCTAGTGCTTTTAGTCTAATTAAATTTAAATGTTTTTTTTTTAA